GAACTGGACGGCTACATGCAAAAAATTGAAATTGGATCATCAGCTGACACCATACACAAAAATGAACTCAAGATGGATAAAAGACTTAAATGTAAGTCGCAACACTATAAAAGTCCTAGAGGAGAACATTGGCACAAAACTCTCAGACATCCCACGCAGCAATTTTTTCACTGATATGTCTCCTAAAGCAAGAAAGAATAAACAAGTGGGACCTCATCAAAATAAGAAACTTCTGCACGGCTAAAGAAAAATCAGCAAAATGAAAAGGGAGCCAACCGTATGGGAAAATATATTTGCTAATGATACATCAGATAGAGCTTTGATATCCAAAATATATAAAGAACTCACATGACTCCACTCCAAGAAGACAAATGAGCCAATCAAAAAGTGGGCAAAGGACCTGGGCAGACACTTTTCCAAAAAAGAGATACAGAGGGCCCAGAGGCATTTGAAAAGACACTTGGCATCACTAGCCATCAGAGAAGTGCAGATCAAAACCACAGTGAGATAGCACCTCACACTGGTCACAATGGCCATCATAAACAGACCAACAAACAACAGGTGCTGGCAAGGCTCTGGAGAAAAGGGAACACCAGTACACTGTTGGTAGGAATGCAGACTGGTGCAGCCATTGTGGAAAGCAATGTGGAATTTCCTCAAAAAGCTGAAAATGGAACTGCCTTTTTATCTGGTGATTCCCCTGCTAGGACTATACCCTAAGAACACCAAAACGCCAATACAAAAGACTGTATGCACCCCAATGTTCATAGCAGCACAATTTACAATAGCCAAGTGTTGGAAGCAACCTAAATGCCCATCAGTAGATGATTGGATCAAAAAGTTATGGTACATTTACACAATGGAATACTACGCAGCACAAAGAAAAAATGAACTACTAAACTTTGCGACAGCATGGATGGAACTAGAGAGCATTATGCTAAGCGAAATAAGCCAGGGGGCAAAAGACAAATACCCTATGATCTCACCTATAAGCGGAACCTAACCAACAAAACAAAGATGCAAGGAAAATAAGACCAGCAACACTGAAAGAAAAAGAAACCAGCAGAGACAAGAGGGAAGGATGAGAGGGGTGGACAGGGGAAAAGGAAGGGAAGGGGCAAGTCAAGGAACATATAGCAAGGACTCATGGACAAAACCAAAGTGGGGAAGGATTGAGGGAGGGAGAGGGAAGAGGGGGCAGGGGAAAGTGGTGGGGGGAAGGCAGAGACAAATGTATTTGGATAAATAAATAAATAAATAAATAAATAAATAAAATATTTCTAGTGGACTTAATCATAATAGCCAAAATCTGAGAAATACTCAAATGCCTATCAATAAGGAAATGGATAAATCCCAGTCTTTTCATACTATTCAGCAACAACAACAACAAAAAAACCTTGCAACATAATGATGAATCTCTAAAACGTTATGTTGAGTGAAAGGAGCCAAACACAAAAGAATATGATCCCATTTATACAGAATTCAAAAGTAGACAAATTGTCCCAACTGACTTTCATTGCAACTTTGTGAGATGCTGAAACAGAAGGCCATCTACCTATGTCATTAAAACTAATCCACTGTGATAAAAATGCGACTGGTGATCATGTGGGGCTATAAGGGAGGCAAGGTGGGGAGGGAGACTAAGTGGACAAAGGCATCAAGGAACTTTTTCAGATGATAGAAATGTGCTGTTATTTTGGATGGCAGTCACATTGATATATGCATTTACTGAAATGTATTGAACTGGACACTTAGAATCTGTGCATTCTATTGTATGTAAACTATGTCTATCTTTCTGAATCACTCATGTTTACTATATAATCCACAGAAAGGCACTACTCCATGTCATTTGAATGTGGTAACCAATTTTGCAGAACCAAACACCAGGATGTACGTACTTTTATTCATATGTACTTATAGGAACAATGCAATACCATATTTAAAGTTAGAACTGTATGAAGATATATGGCTATCATAAAGCCAGGACACTATAAACATGCATCATTTGTTTCTCTTGGAAGTGAAGGTAGATCCTAAGGTGTTGAGAAAATAAACACTGGTGGGTATTTTTTTTCCAGAGCAGTTTGTAGGTGAGAAGAGTTACCAAATACCAGAGGGCTGTAGTATATGCCAAAGTTTGCAGAGGAGGAGCCAACATTTCAGGCTCAGTGTGAATCTTGAATTCCATTGTTTTAGCAAAAACAAGCATCTTCAGTATTCAGTATATAGATTCCTCTAACCTGAACCCCAAACTACTTTTTTAGTCTTCCTCCCTACTCTTCCTTCTCTGCTTTAACCAAACTAATGCCATGCCTGGGATCTTGTGGTACTTAATATCTGTTGAAAGAGAAAGAAAGGGAGGGTGGGAAGGCAGAAAGGAGGGAGGGCGGAAATAAGGAAGGCAAATGAAATTGTTAACCCTCCTCTCTATGAATCATACTCTACAAAAAGGATTTTATAAACTCAGATCTAAATGTCATCGGCATGACCACGAGAAGCTTCTAACTAATCTAGAGAAGTGGTTTTCCCTCTTGGCTGCACATGAGAATCACTTAGAGAAATTTTGAAAAACTTGAACGCCACCCCTCCCCCTGCCAAAATCAGATTTAATTGAATTGGAGTGAAGCATTTTTCTAATGTGCAGACAGAGATAACCATGTCTGGTACAGTCCAACCTCCTCAGAGGTCCAGAGAGTTGATGTCACTGTTCCATGGCCAGACAGCTAGCTTGTAGGTGACAGGGGCAGGATCAGAACTCGTGGAGCATCACTCTAGCTAGCTTTTATCAGTTGTTTATCTGATGAAGTTCTTCCTTCTCTCTTATATCCCTCAGACTCAGTTTTTCTCATTCATATATCCATTTAACAGATAGTTACTAAGCACCTACCAGGTGCCAGGTATACAACAGTGAGGAGAACAGCCAGTTTCCTCTCACCTCACCCTCGACAGAAAGAGCCTGTGTACCGGAAGGCATTTCTCAATCTGGATCATTCTGTCTCCACTAGTTTGTGAGCTTCTTGGGACTAAGATTCATGAGTGATTCATCTTTGGAGCTGCAGGGCCTGGTACAGGGGCAGATGTATTCAAAATATGATGAATAAACAAATGGATACTAGTGATTACTGAATCCCCTTACATGGAATAAAGAAAACAGAAAAATGTCAGGAAGACCACTTGTATTAATCCAGACTTACTCAATTTTATGTCATAGAAATCTGACTTAAATTTTCTGAGAGGGCATTTATTTGTTCATAACCAGCAATGACCATGTCATTAGGGCTCTATCTCTCTTCTCAGTTCCCAGCTTAGTTTATATCATCTTGGCTTCATTCTTAACTTCAGGCCTCTCCACATGACAGGCAAGATGGCCCCCCATACTCTGATTTTATCAGTCCCAACAGCGGCCACATATAATTCCCAGAGGAGACTTTAAGGTCCCTGTCAGCCCACCCTTGAACAAAACACTCTGGCTGGTCAACCTGTTTCACGAATCCACCCTGGGGCAGGGTAGGGTACGGCTATGTCAGCCTCACCGAGACTACCTGGAATTGGCAAGGAGTCCCCCTTAGGAACCAGAGAAAGGAGATAGAAAAGTGTGCTGGACTATCATGACCTATCTTTCCATCTTTCTGTTCCACCACCTTACTTGGCATGATGGCTCCTGTCTTCATCCATGTAGCTTCATGGATGCAAGACAGGTGCCACAGATCTAAACATTATGCTTGTCTTCAAGGGAGGGATAAAGGAGAGAAGGGGCCCTAGCCTTACCTGTCACTTTTTTCAGGAAAGCAAAACCTTACCCAGAAACATCCCAAGAAGGCTTGCTTCCCTTAAACATCACTGGCCAGCATTGGATCACACTGCTACCCCCAGCTGTAAGGGAGGCTAGAAAATCTAGTTTTAACAAACTGGAATAGAATTTCATGGCCAAAAAAAAAGAAAAAAGCATATCATTACTCACTGTGGCCAACTCTAATTCCTCTCCCACTCTGTGCTCCTCCCCCCTCTCCCAGGGTTAAGTGCTCTTGCTTGGAGTGTCCATCACATCCTGGCCTCTCTTATCAAAGTGATAGATGCACTGTACAGCAACTGCTGGTTTCTCCAGCCCCTATCCTTTGCTAAGATTTCTAAAGAGGTGTCCCTATCTGTCTTGTTCATAGTGGTAGCCCCAGCACTTAGCATAGTGCTTAATTCCACTGGTGTTCTCTAACTCATCTATCCTGTGTTAGGTCCTGTGCAAATAAGGGGGCTCTCAGTGAACGCTTCTGGATGGATGGATGGATGGTGAATAAATGGATGGTGGGTGGATGAGTGGATAGATGGGTGGATGGTGGAAGTTTGGGTGGCTAGACGGTGGATGAATGGAGGATGGATAACTGGGTGCATGGTTAGATGGATGGATGATGGACCGATGGATGAGTATCATCACTGTCCAATGGCTCCACCCAGAGCAGCCAGCCTGTAGCTCCCTTGCCCACCTCTTCCCATTCCTCTCTCCTTGGCTTTCACTTACCTAAAAGCCTTTTCCTTTCCCGTGGAGTCACTGAATAGACGGTCCCTCCTAGTCCTCAGTCAACAGCTAGTACTTTCCCTCCCTCCCGCCACCCAACATCCAGCTGAATCTTGAATCAATATCAGTGAACTGGGTGTGAACGGAAGGAGACTGCTCCTTACTTGCCATTATTTACCTCTGTGTGCATTCCCGCATTCCCATATTCATATTCTCTCTCTCCCTCTCTCTCCCCCCCACTTCCTCACCTCCCCCTTCTCTTTCTCTCTATCTCTCTCCCCCCCCTCCCTTTTCTAACTTCTAGGGAACTGGTTCCACCAGCATGCAACCAGCTCATCTGCATCTGGCTCTGGGGACTTGCAGGAGCCAGAAGAAGAAGACAGAGGAGGCAGGCGGGAAGGCAAGAGCAGCAACAGCGCACAGCCGGGCGGGGCCGCGCCACGGCCGCCGCTGGGAAGCCTAAGCGCAGCTTGCTGCCCTGTACTTGCTCATGAGGCCTCAACGGAGCCAGAGAAGGAAGCACCGAGGCGTCTCGCTGGGACTCCTCGCCCTCGGCCTGGCCGCAGCCTGCAGTCTGCAGAGTAAGCACCGGGCGGGCGGGGCAGAGCGCGGGGTGGCAGTCCCGGGCGTCGCGGCAGCCCGGCCGCCAGCCCTCGCCCACCTTGGCAGGCCCTTCAAGCCTGCTCGCCGGGGGTGGGGCTGAGCGCAGCATGGAGTGGGGCGCCGACCGGGCCAGGAGGGACGCAGGCAAAGCGGAGTCTCCCCAGGGCCGGCCGCCTGAGCCACGTCTCGGGGAGCTCCCCACCCCGGCTAGGCGCTATCAGAGCCGGAAGCTGTCCGGGAGGTTACTGGGGAACGCCTTCTCCGCGGCATTTTTCATTTCTTTTTCCTGGAATAACCAGACTGCACCAGAGGTGCCCGAGACCTCAAGGGCGCAAGGGCCCTGCCCCTACTGCAGGGACCCTTCCCACCCCCACCCTCCCGGGTCAACGGCGTGTTCCATAAGTCCCCACCCTGGACCACCCAGAGGAATCGACAGCAGACTCTCTTGAAAAGGGATTCTGGGGGCTCGGGCTGGGTGCTGGAGCCTGAATGCAGGGCGACCCTCGCCACTCTGCACAGAGGGTTGGCACCCGAATCACTCTGCTTGATAGATCTGAATGCAACGCATGGCCCAGCAAACTTCTCTAGACACAAACAACAGATATTAACACAGTCTTACTTTCTAGTTTAATCATTACCATTGTTATGATTTCCATTTTACAGATTAGTCAACCGAGTTTTAAAAAGTGACAACAGTAGGGCCCGCTGGAGGTAAGAGGACCTGTAGTTTGAGCCAGCACTTGTTAAGGTGCATACGCATTCACTGTGTCTCAGACTTTACAAGATTTCTATCATTTAATCCTCAGAGCAATCCTAAGAAATAATTGCTAATCTCATCCATTTCACAAGTGAGAAAACTGAGGCACGGGGAGGTTGTTGTTACTTGTACAAAGTCACCAGCTAGCCAGTGGAAAAGCTAGGATTCAAACCTGGGCAATCTCGCACTTTTGACCTGTATGCTTCTCTGGCCAGTGCCCAATTTTGGAGGCTGCAAATCTCAGAAACTCACAAAGACTGGCATGGGGTATGTGCATCTAGCTGTCTGTGGGGCAATGAATAGCTGCTATGAGTCTATCAGGTGGGTAGGTGGGTTTGGAGTTGCAGTGACCTTTTCCATTGTTTTTCAACCCTCCAGCACATGTTTCCAACCACCATTCTTAGGCAACATCTGTACAGATATCCCTGATTTTCAAGGGCCTGCCATTCACCACAGCGTATACTTTATTTATTCAGTCACTCATTCAGGGCACCATCTGTCTGCAGGAAGCAGGCCACAGTGGGTGCTGGAGATAGCATGGTTCACAGTCTTGTCTTCAGGCAAGCACTCAGGAGTGCCAGCTTGGGGTGGCGAGCCCTGAGAGGCAGGAGATGCCAAACTTCTGGAAGCTCTAGAGGCTCAAAACCAGGGTAGGGGATCCAGGGCAAGCCCTCCAAAGGGAGCCACACCTCCCCAGACCTGACAGATGAACAGGAGCAACCAGGGGAATGGAGCAGAGAGAATACAAAGTATCCAGACAAAGAGAAAGCACGTGTAAAGCCCGAAGGACAGGTAAAGGTCTTTGTAATTTTTCACTTAATATCTGACTCATGCACAGCCCTGAGCTCCAGGAAAGCAGACACTTTTCCAGCTCTGGGCCCCAAGCACTCACCCAGTGCTGGGCAGGCTCCACCCCTTACCAGACAGTGAGCACCTGTGCACTTGCCCGAATAAGGCCTGTGCCTCAAGGCCAGCCTTGGTGACGTAGAGCAGGCTCCCCCTCACCAGCTCCCTCCATTTTCTGCCTTTTCAGCCTCTGTCAAAAGCTGCCACTCAGAAAGTCTGATGTTCATCACTTACACTGAAGTTCTGTTAAAGCACACCCCACAAACACACACACACACAAACAGCCTGCATTTGAAGCCTTTTCTCTATAAAGGGGTCTGTTAGGGACTGAATTGTTGTGTCCCCCTGAAATTCACACGTTGAAGCTCTAACCCTCAGGAAGTAACGGTATTTGGAGGTAGGGCCTTGCGCAGGTAACTAGATTTAGTTGAAATCTTGGGGTGGGACTCCATGGTAGGATTAGCGCCTTTATAGAAAGAGGAAGATGCCAGAGTTTGGCCTGCTCTTTGTAGGGCCTGGCTGAGTCTGGATGTGCTAAGCAAAAGCAGAGGAAGTGGGATGCTGCCTCGGCAGGCACCTCCTGGGATTCAGCTGGCACCCGCCTGGCGCTGCCCTCTGTAGTCGAGGGCACTCAGCCCCTGGGCTGCCTGCACACGGCTTTTCCCTGGAGAATGGGCTTGGGGTAGGAACTGACTTATCCAGCAGACACAGGAGTAGGAGAGAGGCACAACTGGCAAGTTCAAAGTTGGAAAGTGATTTTCTCCCATAACTGATATGCTGGGCTGGGAAAGCGCTGGCTAGCACTGTGGGCAAAGGGGAATTGGCACATTGACCTGTAAAGAGAGCACGGGACATTCCTTACTCACGTGGGGCTCAGGAAACACATTGGCCTTTCCCCCTGCTGAGGTGCACCCAGGGGGGCAGCTCAGCTGTGTACTGTGCTGACCCCAGAGAAGCTGAGCTTCTCTGGGGCTTCCTGGAGGACCCTCAGCCACCCAGTCCCAGTGCTGGTGGTGAGCCCTGTATATGGGGACTCTTCCCTTCCCCAAACATTCAAGACAAGGAGAGTGGGCTGGCGCAGTGCTTCTCAGCCAGGGCTGCACATTAAGTCCACCTGGGGGGCTTATACGACTTAACAGATGCCCACGTCTCACCCAAGACAGTTAAATCGCTGTCTCCGGGGGCAGGATCCGGCACTCTTTTGTTTTGCATTTAAGCTCTTCAGATGATTCTAATGCGCGACCACAGGTAGAGAGCTCCTGGACTGGGCTATTTCTGTTTCCCTCTGTTAGGTTCATCCTATAGAAACAGCTTTTCAGGAAGGAGAGAGATGTGCTGAGAGACTGGGGAAGGCTTCCTGGAAGAAGTGATTTAAACTAAGACCTAGAGGATGAAAAGGAATTGGCTCTTGAGTCTCCTTTGAAAAAAAGAGCTTTGCACTCTAACCATGGTACCCAGTCATGTATATGCCTGAATTATCTTTTGGTCACTCTACTCCCCTCTTCAAGTGCCCTCAGATATCCTGTGAAGTCCTCCCAGAGGACCTGTTAGGAGGTCACACTACTTCATTTCTTCGTTTGTCCTCCTGTTCCACACACATTTCTGCAGAGGTGTCTGGGGAGGCTCCAGTCTTCCAGTTTCTCCGGCTGGCCACTGGCCCAGGCCTGACTAAGTCCTGCAGCCCAGCTCTGCAGGGGGCAAACCAGCAACACCACCCACCCACCCCCAACCCTCGCAATGTTGCGCAGGGCCAGGGAGCTGCCTCTGCCATGTGTGGCTTCCTTGGCATCTGAACAGAAACATTGCAGTGACTTGACCACAGCCTGGGGCCATTCCGAAGAGTTCAGCTTTCCAGCAAGGGTGGCTTTTGCTTGACGTAAAAAAAGATTCCAGAAGGCATTCCACAGGGAAGAATTTCAGGTCATCCAGTCTCTTGCATAAAGGAATCACAGATTTAAAAGTACTCACTCCAGCCCTCTACCTAGTGATTTGAACTAGAAGACCTAGACTCTTCCACTCAATCCTCCAGCTCTGGTCTCAGATCTACTGCTTCAGTCCCTGGTACAATTTCAGCTGCTGCTTGCACACCTTGAGAATGAGAGTTCACTACCTGAGCAAGCAGCTCAATGCATCTTCAAAGAATTCTCCTTAATAATAACTGATATTATGTACAGAGAGATTACCAACTGTTAGAAACCGATAGGCTCCTTACACATGTTGTCTCACTTCAACTTTATTCTGCCGTCTGTGACCCTTAAGTGAAATCCACAGTCTGGGAAAGAATTATTGCACTTGTTTTTATTAATCTTTTTAAACATATGCATAGCTCACGTTTATTTCAATGTTTAATATTAGAAGAGTCTTGGGTCTTTATTTAGAAGCTTGCTGACATTTTTGTAGGACCAGAAATATGCTGTAGGAATTCAACTCATTTATATGAATTAGCCTATGACAAAATTGGTTTCTTTATATGTTATTTGAGTGAAAGTCACAGTTTCCAAGAGCCTATCACTGACATTAAGTAACGACTTACCATATTTATTTTATAGATACAGTAACTGAGACTGAAGGAAACTCTGTAGCCCAGGCTACATAGCTCTAACTGGCAGAACCTAAGTTCTGAACGCAAGCCTGTTTGACTCCAGAGTCCCTGAATGCACCCACTGTGTGTACACTGCCTCACTTCTGTTCACCAGGACCATTATCCTTCAGTCTTTACCCCCAGCCCTCTTTCTGGCAGTGATGGTGTGTCCCAAGTCTTCCCTTCCCAGGATGAGAAGTGCTGCCCCAGAGCCTGGTCCCCGGCCCAGCAGAAATGGTGTTGCCAGTGTTGGAGAGGGCGGGGAGGGACCTGCCTGCAGAGATGCCAGCAGCATCCTCAGTGCGCCCTTGCCTGAAGGTCTTGCAGAATTATTACTGCTGAGGTTTGAAAAATGTGGTCCTGGGACAAGCGGCAGCATTACCTAGAAACTTGTTAGAAATGCAAACTCTAGGGCCTAACCCCAGACCTACTGAATTAGAAACTGGGGCCCGAGGCCCAGCAGTTGTGTTTTAACAAGGGCTCGAGTGATTCTGATCCAGCTAAATGTTGAGAAATACTGTGTCAGAGCATTGGAGAGGGCAAACGGAATTACCTAGCTCTCCTGCTCCTTGGTTCAAACGACCCGCTCTGCAGGGGCTCTGAGGAAAGATTGGGCTGAGCTGGTTAGGCACCAAATTAACTAATAATGGAATCCCATGTGGAGCGTGTGACACTGAGGTGTTGCTGCGCCAATGCTAATCCCTTTGGCTTCCGTTCCCAAATGCTCATTGAATAAAATGAGACTGGATTCAAATCTCATGGCCCAGAATTGTTCCTGACTCTCAAGCTCTCTC